ATCTTCCTGCTTTTATTGATTTTCTTTAACAAAATAGTTATCTAAAAGTGATGTATGAACTTACATCTGTTAATCAGATGACTATTTCAATCATTTTTCTGGAGGAATAGGCATATTACTGTGACAGCATATTGCATATTTTTATACTTGTAAAATGGAAGATCATTGTTAAAAGAATGCTAAAACGGCATATGCTCTTTAAAAATGGACTGATTCGTTCATTATAAACGGTGAGATTTATCTTTTATTTCATTCAAAATAAAAATAAATAAAACAAGAATGGCTAAAATATTTTTTTATCATGAGAGACTGTGCGTTTTGTCACGGTGATACTTTCAGGATATCATTCTCGCTCTTTGATTACGTGTACTACATAATAATGCAATTATGTCCTTGTATCTAGGAATGTTTTATGAACGAATCATGTCTCAACTGTTTCCGATGACCAATATCTCTAGGAATAGTCTGGATTTCTCAATGTTTAAGCGTTGACTTTGCTACGGAAACACGCTTCTCTCTGACTGAAACAATTATAATAAAAGACAGAAAGTTGTTCTTTGGCGGTCCGTATTTTGTACCATAATTCAATTTTACATAGTCCGCCTGTACATCTGTCAATCCGTCACAAAACTTGTCCGGACTACTCCCCATAAATTACTGGTGCATTTTTATCCGACCTTTACTTATATCAGTGGTCAGTGATAAGTCTAGTTCTGCATTTCTTCGGTATTTTCTTGCGCTATGATTTTGTCCTTTCATAATTTTGCCCTTTCATGACTTTTTTTCAAAGATTCGTCGGACTACTTTATTTAAGTAGTTATACAATATACAACATCATCACAGGTAACCTCAGATCGGCACAGTTTACCATTTCCACAAAAGTACGTTTGTTTTACTTGCCGATAAAATTGATTCGAAATGACGTTTGAAATATAAGTGGGATACATCGGCGATAGTTGTGCAGAACTATTTTGTTGAGCGTATAGATATTTATGTTATAAGGCTAATGTAGGTGGAAACAAAACGACGGCATAAGGAAACTATTTATTGATTCTCGAAATTGACTAACCTGTTATTTTCTAATTAAGTATTTAAGATGACACTGAATACGATTTCCGATACCATAGAAATATATAGAACATGTTTTAACTAATGTCATGACAGACATAAAACACATATAGTATTTACAAATAGTCTGAATAACAACATCTACTGCACAGGTTTTGTCTGACGAAAACAAATCACATTTGAAAATTTTATGCTTCACTGCATTTAGAATTATAAGTAACACACATTTGATCAAAAAGTCTAAAAATTAATGCATTATATATATAGATTAAGCCTTCAATCAAATGTAACCATAAGTTAGAAAAAGTGTTTTTCTTGATAAAAAAACTACATCCGTATTCAAATAATGGCATATTAGTATGTTCTGTTCAGAGAAGGGTTGCTGGTTATATTGATAATATTTTCGTGACCATATATTGTTTTAGATGGTTATGATAAAAGCATAATTTTTTTCAAATGTGTTTGGTGGAAATCGTCTCAGATTTAAGAGATAAGATGTAATTGTTTTAGACTTCCTTATAGTTATAATATGTTTGTATTTAAATAATGTGTTAGCTTAGCGCTACCGTAAACATAGAAAAGAATCTTTTTTAAAAGCTAAAACTTCTGTCTCAACATAATGATTCTGAACAAAGATATCACAAGCAGAGTTGTTACAAAAAGATGTTCATAGTAACTTTTGTCTCTGATTCATGATTATTTCAGAACAGTTATTCTGTGGAAGTATCTTTCCCTAATGCGTTTTACCTTTTACGATTGCAGATCATACTTTGACTATTTCAACGTATTAATTTTTTTAAAAACTTACATGTAAAAGTAGCCCCACCGAGATAAAAAAGCCTAAAAATTTAAAGTTTGAAATTCTTATAGAGATCAAATGAAGGACCTAAAATGAAATAATTTGCATAGTAAAGAAATATACTCAGAACTAAATTAATGACCGACTTTTCAAAAACTCTTAACTCAATGAGAGTGAAAAACATTGCAACGCTTTTCAGTTTGGGTCATTTTGCATTGCAAATGATAATTGTGGAAACACACTTTTTTTGCAAAATTTGCAAACAAGTACTTGTTCCAGACTTACTTACGTAAAATTTAAGTCTCAAAAATATTGTCTGTCCCGTTATGTGAAAATTATTTTAGTGTAATCCCTTTAATTAAAACATTTTGCTATTTAATTTTGTATAAATCACCTTTCAGTTAAATAAAACAAAGAAAACAAATCGCTGTCATCTGCAGAGCGAGTGCTTTAAGATTATAGATACAAATATTTAGACAGGAAAATGAGTATGTATTTCAGTAACTCAGGAAATTTGGGCAATTATAAGAATAGAGAATTAGAAATGTCGAAATGAAACTTTTCGACCGCATAACATCTTACATTGTTGTCGTGGAAACAGATAAATTCACAATTATTTTATTTTGAGTGCCAACTTTCGCTTTTATTCATATCCGGGGGTAAATTGATGGACTTGTTAATTTCGTATGACATTGACGAGGGTATGAATAATTTATCTTTATTTCATATCTAAATGTATTTCGTACACATTTAAGATAGTCAAAGACGACGGCATAACGGCAAGTTTCAAGGTAAAGGCAAGGTAAAAATTATTCATTTTTAGGACTTTAATTATTTATACTGCCAAGATATATGCATAGATTGAATTCAGAACAAAATTTTGCTGGAATATCATGTGAATAAAATTATAATTATATGACTAAGCTTTTCAACACCGTAAACTTGCTACCGTGTTTAAAGTAATTTATAATTCTATTGTATGCCATAAATTATAGAGATTAATATACTTGACAAGATTAGGAATAAAATGTTAAAAGTTATGAGAAGCCTACTGCAAGTCAAAGAAGATTATGTTTAAATGTATGCCATTAACTTGATTATAACAACAATCCCTTATTAAAACATTATTCTCAAGAGATATTGATCGTTGTGATATTATCATATCAGTAAACGCACCAAACGCCCCAGAAAAAAAATTATACTACTTCTTGCTTCATCTTTCGAAAGGCCAAAAACGAATTTTAAAATGTTTAATGGTTTAAGAGATTGTTAGATGCTTGTTACTTGAAGAAAATATTCATAAATGTGTCATAAACGTAATAAAAGATAACAAAGTAGTATTTTGACTTCCATATAAAATACTACTTCACTTTAACTGTACTTATTACGAGAGAGTAACAAATTATAAATTGTTTAGGTAATTGGTCAATGAGTAATTGTTTGGATACTATAAAGGTACACCAACATTAAGTTTTATGCAATGAAAACTAAAAGCATTTCTGAGGCATAATGGACCTTCTATAATACAAAAAAAATCAATTAAGATAAGAGACAGAGAGCGATAAGGGCCTTTCAATATAAATGAGATTTTGCTCTATTTACAAAACAAACTGCTGCACCAATATCACCCGTAGTTTAATTTCTGAATGTTTTCCAGATAAGAAATTATAGGAAATGCTTTAACCAATTACTTTTTAATATGATATTGCTGTTATTTGTAGATGTCTTATAAAAGCGTTTATGTGCACTTTACAGTCACGTCCATGAACAGGCTCAATCAAACCGAGCCTGCAAATATTTTAATTGTGTCGTTTAAGACTTTCTTAAGGGTTTTTATTTTCTGTATTTTATTCTTCATTAGGTACTTAAATATGTCGATGAATGACTGAATTGTTGGCCGGACACGTTCATAAAAACATTGTCATAATCGATTCCTGTCTCCTCAGATTTTGCATGCGACACATCGTCTCAATATGCTACAAATAAACGCAAAATCATTTCAAAATCCATTCACGTATCACAAGATTATGTACCGGAATGACAGACAGACAGACGGACGGACGGATAATTCAGAAACTATACATGTATGACATGAAGTCACATTGAACGTTTAGGGCATTTTACTTTAAATTTCAGAAATAAAGTCGTTTGATAGACAGAATGTAATTTTTGTGTTGTCTACTTTCACATTTGAACCATTTTCTTAAGTGTCTGTTATTATATTCCATAACCAGGAAAATTAAAATTACGTATATACAATTTAACAAGCCAGAACTAGAACTATAGCTTTACTAATACCTTTTTTGTAATTCAGATATCATAGTTTTTTTATTTTGTTTGGTTATGTTTGTTTGTTTATTATTTAACGTCAAGCAAACAGCCATGCTAAAACTATATGCCGAAAATGTTATAATTTCAATTCTCTACATTAATTCAACCACTTAGCGACCTATGTAGCTATTATAGTAAACTGATTAACTGTTCAGATTTTTACTAGGTACTGTGTTGCTGTAAAGAAAACTTTTATGGCCAAATAAATAGAATTTGTAAAAATGATAAATGCAAGCCACTCAGCTTTCACAAAAAGGGAACAATTGTTTACGTTCGATTCACTAGATGGCTTCAAACCGAGTCTGCAATTGTTATGTTATTTTGTTGTGATTAATGCTTCCGAGGGATCACTTTGTTTCCAGAATTTTGTACTTCACAACAGCAGGTGTCAAGTGCCGTGTGGCAGTCGTAAAAAGTTGCCCCGTACTTCACTTCAGTGTTGCTATATTTTCTGGTCCTCGGGATCATTGATGCCAACACTATAAAGTGTTGAGAATTGAGTACCGCTCAAGCCGGTGCTAGGGGGCGTGAGGAATGTTGCACTTATTCATTATCCCTCATGTACAGATTCCATCAAACCGAGTCTGCAATTCTTATGCTATTTTGTTGTGATTAATGCTTCCGAGGGATCACTTTGTTTCCAGAATTTTGAAAGCTTCAGTGCATGGAACAATTCAATATTTTTATTGAGCAATAAATCAAAGGAGTTTAAGGGATAGGGAGTTAGTGACCTTTAGTTTTTAACTAACCAAAGCATTCAAAAACATTCAACAAACAACACTAAATATTATGAAAACTTTATTAAGCTAATAATTTACGAAAAGGAAAATAAGCATCACATTTATACACAGTCATATGATAGTAACTTATGAATATATAACTCATGCCAAAAATATTCTGAATAATATTTTAGTATCTTAACACATTGAATGATACCATTATCGTTTAAGTGTTTCAAAATATTTTCAGAACATATTTATATAGAGCAAACTACCATAATAAATAACCATAAAAGTTTTACTGATATGAAAGATTATGTTCCTATATTGGTTATAGTTGTGATTGTAATCATTATATTTGTTTCAGTTTACACAATTATAACAATTTAATTACGCTTAAATCAAAATCAATTACCTGTAAATCACATTGAAAAAAAGAAAATATTACAACAATAAGATCTTGGTAATTGTCATATAAATTCAAGTAGAATTATTATTTCAAAAAGCTTTTTTTGATATTTATTCTTTAGCACTCTATACAACTTTATTGAAATAATGAACCTATATTATGAGATTATTTTACATTGTTTAGTACAATACTGAGTTGTTTTAAACAAACATGTCAAACGAATGTTAAATTAGGCGACAGATAAAACAGAAACTAGCTTTTCCGTTTAGAAATAATCTTATTTTTCCATGAAAGTTTCAAGTGAACCCAGAGCTTACCCTAATTTTCTGTGTGAATATTTTTTTAAATTCTGACACAAGATGAAACGAAGGTGTTTTCCTGTCTCTTTTCCGCTAATATTTTATGTAGAACACAGAAGTCAGTGTCTTGTGTTCCCCGGGTTCTGGCCTGAATATATTTTCTCTGTCTCATCCATTACATTGGACATAACTTAAAATTAAATCATCCATTCTTCTTTTCCGTTATCTTATATTCTTTTTACATTATATTATTCACAGTAACATTTCTCTCAGTGGATAAAACATGTCAATTAAAAACATTCTTTTGGTAGCTCAAATCTTCATCATGACACATTTCATCACATTTTATCATCATATATATAATATTTATCTATAAGTTACAATAACAAGTCAAAGTACTCGCATATCAATTATTGTCTGCGTTTACAATTTCAAACTGAAGTGAAAACACTGAAAACATAAAAATATTTCATTTCTTTTGCACAAAACTATTGGTGAATAAAAAAGGAAAGAATTATGTGATATGAATGTACATATATAATGCGAATTGTGCATTATAAATGTGCAAAATGATACCACGATTGAATTGTCGGAGAGCTCAAAGAATTACGTTTTACAACTTTTAATAATGTAATGAAAATTTAAAAGGAAAATCACTTATGATAAGTGATAAAAAACGAAAATTCGCGAAGTCTGCAACATTCCTGACGATAAATGTTAGACAAAACAATACAAACAAATGTATCTATTACAGTAAACTCTAGTCTCATTTCTTTTATATGTCATTAGTTATTGAATATTTTGATGAGGCTCAAAAATAATGACTGCCAAAAGAATTTATGAATAAAGATATACTCTGTTCATTTTTCAGTAAAATATTATTGTCACATGGAAGCTGTGTTACTCATTACATGTCAAGTAAAGTTGGTCTTTTGTTTTAAACTGACAGTTTTTTTAAGTGACGCTATATATTTATATTGTGTCCACTTCCTCTTTTTCACTATTTTGAATTTCTATGTCACAAAGTACATTCATCAAGTAACAACTTTGTAGTAAGCAAGTATCCCAAGAAATTTATTCATTTAAAATTCATATCGCATGACTACGAGTGTTAGATTCGAAATATATTGTGCAGAAATTTAGTATAAATTTCTCCTGTTGTTAACAAGAATGGATTATATGAATATTAGCATTTAGCTAAAAAAAAACGGACCCGACAAAAGTTATGTATATAAAATGGCTTTGTTTGTCAGTTTTTAACCAAGAAAGCTAAGCTTTTATTTAAGACATCTCTAGGATATATAACAAAGTAAAATTATAAACACATTTGCTACGGAGGACGCTACGAGACATATAAAAGTTGCAATTAAAAGTAAGAATAATATTCAACTGGTTATTGTTCTCTAAAATCTTTGTCAGAAACATCTTTTTTATTTTCTTAATATAATTTTAATAAAACTGTAAATAAAAAACACGTTTTCAGAAAAAAATATCTCCATAAAGTATATGAGAAAATTCGTTCACAGCGGTTGAAAGTTCGTTGAATTTTTGTCGGTCCTACTTGTTCTACTACTTCTCTTTGATGATGTAAAGAAAGCTTTAAATCTCTGTTTTACTTTCGGTAGTCGAATTGCATAAATGATTGGGTCAAAAACTGCATTCAGTAAAAGAATCACATATAAGATATCAAGGATTTCTGTAACTTTATCAATATTACGAAAAATGTACGTAAGGTCAGTTTTATTTTTGATATACATGAACACATTGTAAAATGCAAAGGGAGTCCAGAACAGTATAAATGTCCCGACAAAGAGCCCAGTTGTCATTAAAGCTTTAACACTTCCAGAGTCGGTATGGTGGCGTGCCCTTTCCCGTCGAGGCATTGCCTTTCTTATGCGGCTGTAGATTCTTCCGTACAGTAAACATATTGCGACAAGTACAATAAAGATGAACAGAATTATGGCTACTTCTATATTATAATTCCCTTCTGCAATTACGGTGCAAATCGACCCGCCTTGACCGATAGCAAACACGACTTCCGTTAAACCTATAAATAGACTGACAACCCAAACCATTAAAACGGCACAATTTCCTTTGATAAACGTCATCTTTTGTCTGTAACGTAATGGTTTAATGATAGCGCCATAATGATCAAGGGCCATGACAAGAAGATTCAAAAGTGTGGCAAAAATCGCAATATCTGACGTCAACCTGACTAAAGTATTGATACAATCATGTTCATGGAAGATAATGTAAGTGAAATAAAATGAAAAGTTTCCGAGAGAAATTAAAGCATCTGACAAACAAAGACTGATAATGAGTTTGAGGTGCGTCGTCATTTTTTGTCGCATTTTAACAACGGCTATAATTGATGCAACGTTTGCTATGATACCCAAAACACAAACAATAACTGTCAGTGCTTCGATTGGATCTGTAAAAATTATGGCAGCTTTCTCTGCTGTAGTTCGAATTGCTGGATGCCGGTCCCGCATACCAATCGTGCTCAAACTGGAATTACATGTTGCATTTTTTTCTGTGTCATTTTCTGGAAGGACAATGGTACTATGATCAGTTACGTCGTACTGGACATAACTGGTTTGTGTCGAACTCAACATATTGTAAAACGCTATCCAACAACCCTGCAAATAAACAAAAACATTTATTTTACACGAACTATTTTTGTATACGTAATGATTTTTGATTTTTCTCTGTGTATAAATCATATACTGGTTTCTGTTATACTTTAAACCTACTGATTATCTCTCAATAAAATATTTGGCATCTTACGCCTTCAAATTCTGTAAGTTTTAACTGATAATTATCATCTTAACATAAGGAAAGTAAATTATGCACAGTTTTGTATATTTACATACACGCTGATTTAATAATATTTTATTGCATATTTTGTACATGATTAATTTACACAATCTAACATCAATATCTTAAGCATGAATATAATGTACATACAAAAGGGTTGGACCAAAAGTTATACCAACATTATCTAGGGTCCTCCCCTGACGGTCTATCTTGATGGCTTAATGGTAACATAGAAAGTAAATGTGGTTTTTAGAAATTCTAAGATATTTATTTATATGATAAGCGATATTAATTTCAGGTATTTTAACTGTTAAAAAAGAATCGCTTAACCTAAAAAACAAAGAAAATTACAAAATGACTTAATGAGGTAAAATGGAGAAAAAAATATATGCCATTAACAATTTGCCACTATAATAAACGCACCAAACCTTGATTTGCAGCAGTATTTTAATAAACTTTTTATGAAAATTAATATATTAAATGTGTAAACAAAATTAGGTAAATCTTCTACTACTTTTGATGAAATTATGCACTTCTTGAAATAGTCTTATGTTTTCGGCTTCTGCAAGTCCATCAATACCGTGTAATAATTTCTGACTACTGAGAGGATGAAATGACCTGGTATTCAAAAAAGGTATACGTCTTTGCATAGTATATAATTTACATCGGAAAAAATAGTGCTCCGCATTTTCGATGTCTGCGACGCATTGGCATAATGGACTTGAAACTAAATGGTTAATAAAAAGATCATTATTTAAGTTGCTACAATTGTTTCTAATTAAGAAACGATCTCCGTATAAGAAAAAAGATGGAACTACTGGAGGTTTATATAATTGTTTAATCTTGTTTTTTAATGAAGCTAGCGACTGTGATTCGCAAATGTTTGTCGGAAGATTATTCCATAATTGAATAGCTGATGGAATAACTGATTTTGAGTACATTTCGGTACATCTGGCTAAAGTAATATAGTCACTATTATTTCTTAACGAATAATGGTTTACTAACGCCATCTCGACAGATGGTGGAAAATGTTGCATAAGATATTGTGGTAATAAATTATATTTTCCTTTATACATTAAAACTAGTTTTTGAATTTGTCGTCTGTCTGAAAGTGAAACCCATCCTATCTCCTTAGGTAAATATTGAATTGATACGGATCTAGTTAAACCAGTTACCACGCGAGCTGCTTCGTACTGAACTATTTCTAACGTTTCTTTTTCAAGCTGTGTACAATTATCCCATACTAAAGATGCATATTCTAATTGTGGACGTAAATACGATATGTAAATGTTATTTAGAGTATTTTTTTTTACCTTGAATTTTAGCATTTTCATTGAACCAAGAATTCTTGCAGCTTTGGATACTATAATAGATATATGTTCATGCCATGACCCATCTTGGCTAAATGTTACCCCTAGATGCTTATGGTGGTCTACATATTTAAGCTGTACATTATTGAAAAAAAGTTTCGGTTTATTTCGATAACAAAATGAAAAGATCATGACCTCAGTTTTTGCTGGATCGAAATTAACAAGCCATTGTTTAGACCATGATGTAATTGTGATAAGGTCTTTATTAAGAATTTCTTCCATATACGAGACATCTTTAGATGAGACTGCCAACGAACTGTCGTCGGCAAAAAGTCTAGTTACACTTAGAAGGGATTCGGCAATGTCATTAACATAGATTAAAAATAAAAGAGGACCAAGGACGGATTCCAGGTAACACATTCATATTGTTTATATCAATATTTGAAAATAAAACTGTCAGCAAATGAAGCCAATTTTAATTATTCCACATTTTAAACGATTTAAGAAAAGTGTAATTTAGCACAAATGAAAGAATTTTGTGTTTTTGCTCAAAATTATGCAAAATAAAGAGCTTTACTATATAAACTGCAGCAATAGCTTACTATCTCACTGTTTAGTATTGACAGGGAGCATATTGAATCGATGCAAACAAAACTCGATTATTTAAATTAGTAACATGTTTTCAGGAATATCTTAATGCTAAAACGATTCTATGATAAATCATCACTTTGCCTCCAATATTTAGAATTTCAAACTGAAAGCTTCACGAGACAGTTTAAATAGAAATGAGAGATAATGTAAATTTTGTACACAAGGCACTGTGTTATTAGAATATCAATTACTTTTTTGTCAAACTTACTCAGAATGAAAACAAGATTTTATACCAGGTAAAGATTAACATTTGTGATTCGGTCAACAACGTCAACAAATATAATTATAACAGTGAATATAAATGCGTTTTAGCAATCCACGATTTTTTGGGATTTAAAATTTCTGTTTTATTTGTAGAAAAAAAGAAGAACGACCAAATTAACATGTTTTGTTGTTGCTGTTGTTATTGTTGTTGTTGTTGTAGTTGTTGTTTGCAAAACATTGAAATAAGTTGAGAAATTCGTTTATTGTGTAATAATATGGGTTGAATATAGCGTTTCTAAAATATATTTCGCTCTTTGATCCTTTTACAGTACGGTTTATGTTCGATTCGTTCTTTTTATTTCTACGAATTTCTGCAAGATTTATCTGCACCCAATCTATTATATCAGTACATTTATTGTAACATTATGTAATTTTTTAATACTTTTTATTCGATATCATGATTTATTGAAAATAAATAAGAAGTTACAGTAAAGAATAAAAGCATCAACTTTTAACGTAGGTTTGTTTAATTTAATTGCAATATATATGAAGAAAAAAACTAAGAAATAATTACATAATTATAATTAAAGTTAATTAAAAATAGATAAAATATAACAATTGAGTAATGCAAATAAGTATTATTTTAAGTTATTGAATGTAATGAGAAGAATATTACCACAGCATTTTAATCAATAATGAGAATAATAATAATAAGTTATACATTTTTATTCAAAATTGTGACTTTATTGAATTTATGTCAATTTATGTAGAAAAAATACTTTTATACTTGTGAGAGAAAAAAGACTTAGTGATTTTAAAGGAGAATAGTTTGTGCGAATTTGGAAGAAAGGAGATGTTAAAAAATAGAATGTTTCTATATTTTTTTCTATTGCGACCGCTGTAAGTTCAGTCAGCCCAACATATAATTAGATCACAAGTTGTAATGTTTATCTTGAATGCTTTTAGGAAAGACAGTCAAAAAATTTTATTGACGTAAGCAGTACAATTTCTTGTCATACATTTTACATATATACACTAGGATTTATTTGTTCAGTGATCAAATAAAGTTCAAATTTTTTTTTTATCACAAATTAATAACGATATTTCAAGGAGGATAAATCAGCAATTACACTTTCAAGATAGTGAGACAAGTTTGATGTTTCAAATTTGCAATTTACAGTAAAGACTTTCTTAACTTAAATGCTTTATATATTTAGACATGGAACTTGATGTTACAATGTGTCATAACTGAGTAATATGGTATTCGAAAAGGTGAAAACATAAAGCTTAGAGTGGTTTAATGTTGCTTTCTGCACATTTTGTAAAAAAGAATTATTTTCTAGTTTAATGATTGACTTATGTTTACCATATTACATGTATATTAAAACCAGACCAATATAGAAATTTATCTTTAGTATTAAATTTCTTAAAATTTTGTTCTGCTCTCTTCAGAAAAGATATTATAATACGCTTTTATAATAGTATTTCAATGTTATAATACATATTGTTTGTTCATAAAAAAATAAAAGAGACCGTGGTCATAAACTATATAAGCCGTAATAAGAAAATCCAAATTGAGACCACCCCACAATTAAGACCTTTTTAATTCTGGCTCGTTGATGGTCTTAATAGAGGATTTTTAATGAATCCTACAGATTATTTACCAGGGTACGTTATATCATAATTTATTTATCTGGCAACACTATTTTTTCTCTAAAACTGGAAACAAAATAATTTTATATGACATTTTAATTATCCACGTAACAAACAGAAACATTCAAACATCAACATACGTATATTCAACGTTTTTTTATCCGTTTCATAAAAATGTTTATTAATTAGTGTTGATATCTCTCAGTGTGTACAGAAACTCCTAAGATATTTTTTTCTAAATTTATTTTATTTTCTTCATAGCAAATTACATATTTATCAACATGAATAATAAATCTTAAAGGATAATCACTGAACGTAATTTATTACCTTTCAAATTAAATCCTTACTTAATAAATCCGCTCAAATTCTGAAAAGATTTGTTTTTATTTTTCCAATACAAGTGAACATCTCTGCGACTTGTTATACAACTGACAAAGCGACTTCTTTCGCGACATTTCATTGGATTTTTAGCGCAGCTATTGTTAGATATATTTGATACTCGGCTGAATGCGTTTATGACATGAATATCCGTTACTGTACAGTATCAGAGACTCTATCTGTACAAAATAATTGCCGAACGTGTGACATTTTATAACATTTCACAACATATATCCAACATTATATCCGTGATTGTTCTTGAATTTAAGTGCAATGTAACTATGTCGCATATCGCCTTTATTCAACAGATTCAGAATATGACTTTGAATGTTAATGTATCGATAAGCAATGAAGTGGAAACTGATGAAACTGGAAGAAGTCCACTTTATATCAACTAAGACATAAGAATCATCGTTTTCAAAATAAAATAAAAAGTTAGATTTTGTTAACGAAAATGTTAATATTATCGACAATGATTGCATTTTTACAGTAAACATCTATTATTTATTTACATAAAACTAAATAAATGTCCTGTTCTGGTCTGTTCTCTTTTGTGCATTCAAGAAAACTAGTTATGTAGTGCGTAATTGCACAATTTCCTAGGCGACTCAATTTCATTTAGATGGGATGTTTTTCTCGTGTGAAAGAATTGTACATTTTCATCACTTGTCAGAGAGAGATAGAGATAATAGAGATAATATATAAATTATCTAATTTATTTAAATGTCTGTTTTTTATTGTGTTAAACGTAATTTTTTTTAAATATCACAGCATTTTCATCGTTGTTTTAATTTTGAAAATCTGCGATGTTACGTTATCATTCTGAAGACAATATTGCGGAATAACAAAATTATTAATATAGTAAACAAAAGTCAACAAATAAACATGTGTTGCGAACATGTGTGTTATATTTAAGAGTAGTTGCGCAGTTTCGACAAATTCCACTGAATAAAAATATATTTCGGAAGTTAAAGCATTTTTAATTATTATGTACTAAAGAAATGTATATTCGAATCATATTTAGGGGTATATTTTATGTTTCATATCAAAGCTTTTATAGCTTTTAAAATTATATAGATTTGTAGGTCACTTTTTATTTCTTTCAGTACGGATCTCGTGAAATTCATAAACCATATATTTTATATTTCTGAACTCTTCCAGTGTATTTATTAATATTGTGGTAAAATACTTATATGATTTGTATGGTATATTGATAGGAACATCATTTAGTATAATTCGTTATAAAATTCCTCTATCCCTTCATTTTACAACAAGTTTTTTTATCTTTTTTTTTTCTTTGTTAAATGATAAATAACTTAAAAATATGAACTTAAATGTCGAAATTCTCTGTTTTCCTGGCTAATTGGTACAAATAAAAATACAACGCTTGAGAAACAATCTAATATAATTTTACTATTTTGATATATTTGCATTTTTAAAATGATATATTTGTTTTATAATTATTTTTCTAATGTTTCGACAACGTATTTGAAAATGAATGTAAAGAGACGTTTTGGACAACGAGTTTTATAAATATGAGTCGACGAATTATTGGAGTGTTGTCTTAATAAACATTTAGTATTTGTAAGATTACTAATGCACAGTTACGTATTTACATGTTACAACAAAGTAAGACTTGACTAGAAAACAATACACAATGCTAAAGAAACACGTGTATTATTAAATAATCGAGTGAGAGCATTTCAAAAGATGATTTCCACTGGAGCATTTTATCTTTTATATACAAATTGAGAAGTACTGACTTTTGTAAAAGAAAAGGAAGGCGAATATTTCTTATATTTGATTCTATCATCTCTGCCATATCTAGATATAAAAATGTAAGTTTTGTTGAATTTAAAAGGAGCCATGTGATATTTTTGTTTCATAATTATTTGGAGCAAGCTATTATAAAATATTTATTCCTTACTTTCCCGGTGCACATATCATCTTTAGCTCAATGCAATAGTTTTATAGTGACCTTTTTCACTTTAGCTGGTCCTGCAACATCACGTTAATTTTCACACCGTACAATCAAATGGGCAGACAGCTGTTCCAGCGTCCACAGCTGTACCAGTATATACATGTCGGCGCGGGGAATACAATTGACGTACGATAAGTATTCATCTATTTTTAACATATCTTAACTGTGATCGAGTAAATCAATGTTATGGATTCATAGTCAACATCCAAAGAAGCGTGCTAACAAATTTCTGGCCCTGTGCAAGCTTTACTTCACATGAATTTTGACTGAAAATAACCACACTATCCGATGAGATGCGGTATTTTTAGTTTAAAGTCACAAAAACTTATATTTTCTCATGATACACTGTGATAATTATTCCTTTTTTCATACGATACGCAAACGTCAACATTTTGTCATTAAATATTCCAAACCATACCTTCAAAAAAGCTTTTCTGTTAAAGTTATAAGGTATTTAAGTTTGAGTGTCATCAAAATGTTAGTAACGTCATCAGCTGTTCGCCTCTTTTTAATGATAACATCGACAGCAATTCATCGGCAAGGATGAATAACGCTGAAAGCTGTTCAAAGAAACAATTTTCAGCGCTTTTTTGCTTCAGTAACTAGGAAAAAGTAAAACATTTTTGTTTATTTAATATATTACTTTATTCATGATACTTTCTAATTATATTATTTTTATTATCACTTTCTATCATTTGTTGTACCTTAGATGAGAGGCCTATATCTCCATTTACCGCACTGTATTTCAATATTGATATTGTTCATATGAATGAATAAGTGAGTGAATGAATGAATGAATGAATGAATTAATTAATTAATAAATGAACGAATGAACGAACGAACGAATGATGCAATATACGTATATGTTAAAACAAATTGTCTGTAGAAAGTATATGAGTTGTAATATTCTAAAAATTACATATTATACATTCATTTTTCTTCCTATGCATGTCCTGTTGTTGTTGCTGTTGTTGTTGTTTTCTGTTTCAGAAGGCCACAATGGAAATAAGATATATATGATTGTTATTGAATGTTATTAATGTATAACCTTCTTTAAATAAAGATATTATTTTTATTATTATTATTATAATTTAAAAAGGTAGCAAGATCTATTAATATGTTTCTGAAATGTTAAATTCAAAGAAAGTAACGCTTAATACGAATACTCTGTATTATAACTAAATCCATCAAGTGTTATTATAAATAATGGCATATAGTAGACATGTCCCATGCAGTAAATGGATGTGTAACCCGAGATGTCTGCCATATAAAATGATTTATTTAAAAAATAAAAATTTAAATAATTTTTAAGAATGGTTATTATTTCTATTGCACTATACATTAAAACGACAACATGTTTTTCCATGCACTTTCATACCATGCACTGCATAGGACTTGTCCATTATATGCCTTTATTTATAATAACACTTGATGGATGCCTTCATTTACAAGACTGAATATTCATATTAAGCGTTAAATTTGCCTTTGCCTTTTGACTTAAACATTTCATAAACCTATTACAGGAACTCCACTGAGGTTTATAAGCCTAAAAACATGAAATTTTTTTTCACATAAAAAAACATGAGCTCTGAAACATAAATATTAATAAAATATAACCACGAAATATAGGAGAGATACATTGAAAATCATATGTTTGTGCTATTCTCAGTCCAATTTAAGTGAAAAGCGTTTAAACTCTTTTCAATTTTGGGTCATTTTTTACTATTATAATATTCTGGAAAAACGGAGCAAGCTAATGATCGGAAATTTTGCATATAAGTTATTAGTATAGATCTACATCAAATGGAGAAATAATCTCAAAAAATTATTTCCAGTCCCGTCATGTCAAAAAACCTTAGTGGAGTCCCTTAAATAGGTTTTGCTACCTTTTTATATTGAAATACAGTGCGGTAAATGGAGATCAAGGTCTCTAAGTTAAGATATAACAAATAATAGAAAGTAATAATAAAAATAATATAATTAGAAAGTATCATGAATAAAGTAATATTCTAAATTTACAAAAAAGTTTTACTCTTTCCTAGTTACTGTAGGACAAAAGCCCTGTTGTTAATACATGTAATTGTTTCTTTGAACAGCTTTCAGCGTTATTCGTCCTTGCCGATGAATTGCTGTCGATGTTATCATTAAAAAGAGGCGAACAGCTGATGACGTTACTAAAATTTTGATGACACTCAAACTTAAATACCTTATAACTTTAACAGAAAAGCTTTTTTGAAGGTATGGTTTGGAATATTTAATGACAAAATGTTGACGTTTACGAATCGTATGAAAAAAGATTAATTATCATAAGAAAATATAAGTTTTTGTGACTTTAAACTAAAAATACCGCATCTTATCGGATAGTGTGGTTATTTTCAGTCAAAATTAATGTGAAGTAAAGCTTGCACAGGGCCAGAAATTTGTTAGCATGCTCCTTTGGATGTTGACTATGAATCCATAACATTGATTTACTCGAATACAGTTGGGATATGTTAAAAATAGATGAATACTTACCGTACGTCAATTGTATTCCCCGCGCCGACATGTATATACTGGTACAGCTGTGGACGCTGGAACAGCTGTCTGCCCATTTGATTGTACGGTGTGATTTTGAATTAATAAATTGCGTAAAAATAGTTGAGCAGTACATTATATTCTCATCATTCATATAAATTCTTCTACAAGTTAAATGTAAATGCTGCACATCAAAGACGCCGCCAAATTATGTGAATAGTCACGAATAATGTACTATATCAGCCTTGAGAGTCGTTCTCAATCAGAGTTGAATATTCGAAGCACTAATCAATTTTTCTCCATGGTCATAGTATGTCCTCGTTGTTTAATAGTTACGTTGCATATTTTTGTTAAAGGTAGAACTAATGCAAGAATTCACAAAGTAATATCATGTCTGAAATTCTGTTTTTTTCGACACTATGTGAAAAAAAGAAAAGGTCTGGTCGAAGCAAAATAAATTGGAAACCAAGAAAAATTGAAATGATTGGTATACTTAAAATAAATTCAAGACAAAGACACAGGTAACATATCTCCGTTGCGCCGAGAATATGTCCATTCAAATATTGGTACGCATTGGATAATGTAAGAAT